TTTTTTTTTTCTCTCCTTTCTTTCTTTCTCTCCTCCTCCAAAACTGGCCATTAGCCTCTTGTGCTACTAAGTGCTCCTGGGATTCCAGGTCTAGGAGAGTGCCAGGATCAGAAGTGCCAGGTGCCAGCAGACAGGAGCCAGCACTGCGTGTGCGGGCTCATTTCCCGGACACTCCAGATCTGCTAGTTGTTTTTGGAAGCTGGTTCCTTTCCGAATGCAAATAGCGACGGGATATACTATTAGTCAGCCCTACGTGTAGCAGGAATGACCTCAACACCCATTTCCTTCCAAGTTACTATATTTGTTTGTGCCTCGGGCACCCGTTTGTTGTCCCCTGCAGAGCGCCTGTTACTGCAACCATAGCTGCTACTGTCCCGTCAGCCACCCGTCCTGTGCCTCGGACCAACCAGCGTCTGCTGCTGCTCCGCAGCAGTCAATTATCTTCAGCCCCAGCAGCCACACATGCCCTGCGGCACCAGCTGCTCACAGCCTGGCTCTGCCAAGGCACTTCCCAGTGTTCCTGGGAGGGTGCGGAAGAGGCACCCACAGGGAAGAGAAGAAATCTAAGCTAAAAAAAAAAAAAAAAAGGCAAAAATTTAAAAAATACACAACAAATTACAAACAAGCAGGACAAAACACACATGAATTGCTGTATCTGAGTGGAGCTACCTTGAAGAGAGGGCAGCACCACCACTTCTTTTCATCTGCCTGGCAGGTGTCAGGTCAAATAGACCAAACCCAGCTTCAAGGGAAGCAGCCGAGCGCTTCCAGTGCGAGCACGGGGCTGGCTGCAGGTTTGAAAGCAGCCTGCTGTAATGATCCTCCCAGGGGCACAGAAGACGCTCCTGAATCCCCTCGGCTTTCTCCAGCCCAATATTAGACTCTAACTTGCTTCCCAGACAAWGCTCCCCATAGCATTGGAGCCAGGACACCTGCTTCTACAGCCAAAGCGTCCTTTATCTTAATTTGGTGGCAATGTTGACTGACAATCATGAGATCCTTATGCCAAAGTACAGTGAAAGACTGAACTGGTTTGTGTCTTCTTAACTTTCTAGAAAATATAATCATGCTCAGGTCTATGGCTACATTGCCCTGCCCAGAAATGGGACATAAAATGACTTACAAACACAGAAACATTATTTTAAAGGAGGAATGCCACAATCACGAGATTCCAGCAGCTTGGTTACCCAGCAGCACAAGTCACTGCTTGATTCAAGTCACAATGACTCCTTCTCTAGTCTCCTTTTAGAGCATCATTCATACCGTAAGCGTCAATGGTGCTCCGCATGCACGGACAAGACGCAACAAAGCGGCACATTATCATCTGCGGAGCGGCAGCCGGGCAGAGCCCGTGCTGCGAGTCGCGAAGATAGTGACTGCGTGGTCATAACCTCGCGCTGYGGCGTTGGTGCTGAAGCATGAAGACCAGCCTAAGAAATTACTGGGTGAGGAAACCTGTATTTAGCAACATGATGGAGCAGGAAGAATACACAAAAATTGCCTACAGACACGCATATAAACAGTGAAGGAAACTACCKTCTAGCAAAGAGAGGGTTAATGGCATTGAAGCCTCCTGTTTCCTTGCTCGTGGCTGGGATCATAGCTCATGCTGGAGAGAAGGGTGTCCCTTGTCCCTGGAGCTTGCTGTGCTGCCCAGCAGCTTCCCTAGAGATTTTCCCACCCCAGGTCGCATCTGTGCGGGATTACTGTGGAGCTAAATTGTTGTTATTT